TAGATTAACGGAGGACATAAAGATATCACATATGGACCTACATGTGTAAGTGTATGATGCGTGCTTATACACATATAGATAGATAGATAGATAGATAGATAGATAGATAGATCGATAGATGGATAGATCGATAGATAGATAGATAGATAGATAGATAGATAGATAGATACATAGATAGGCAGATAGATAGATAGATAGATAGATAGATAGATAGATCGATAAATCGATAGACCGATAGATAGATAGATCGATAGATGGAGAGAGAGATAGATAGATAGACAGATAGATAGACCAGATAGATAGACAGACAGATAGATAGATAGATGGAGAGATAGATACGGGCGTAGGTAGCCAAGCATCGCACACCGCGTCTCGCCCACCGAGGACGAGACCTTGCTGGGATGGATCTTCCTGAAGCTCGGCAGCGATATTTTTCAAATGTTGCCCGATATAACTATAGAGTTTAGGGTTTAGAGTATAGAGTCACTGGCAATACTTATTCCCTAGGTTTGTCTGACCGGAGTATCGTATATGAACGTATACTCCAAAACCTTACTGGACTTATTGAGACCCCTATTATTCGCGTTTCTGGGTTTTTTCAGGGGTTCAGGGTTTGAAGGCGGTTTTGGGTTTGGTTTTAGGGTTCAGGGTCTGGGGTTCAGGGTTTAGGGCTTAGGATTTAGGGTTTAGGGTTGAATGTTTCTTTTTGCAAGGGCACGTTGGGTGGTAGGGCCTGGTAAGCTCGGGCGGGAGGCAAGTGTAGGCGTTGCGCTGTGTCCGCCGTGCCTCGCCCCTAAACCTTAGACCCCTAAACCTCTCAACCCTAAACCGTAAACCCCAAATGGCATGCGAACTGGCACGCCAGATGCTCTTGCCATCGTGGTTGATCGAGGCCTGCTCTAGTAAAAGCCACCAACACACCGAGACCCCTACTGAGAGCGACGCATTCTTCATTTGAGAGGTCTTGGCCGACGCCGAGGGTGTGTCCAAGTCTCACGATGTTAGTTTTGCTAGGTTTTCAATTGATGTTAAATTAAAGCTTTGTGAAGGCTGGGTTCTAAATGCCGCGGTAGGAGGGAGCCGTGCGTTTTGGGTTGGATTTGCAGGGTTCACGGCTCTGGGTTTTGCACAGCACCCCGGCATCGCTTCCCTTGTTGTGAAATTGCTCGGCCAGTTTAGCCTATGACCCGCTGCCGATTGTTCCAACTTTTCCAGAGCAGCCACTAGGGTGTTTTTCAATTGCCATGGATAGCGCGTCTCTTGTGCAGTTTGCGTCGTCCCTGCACAAACATGGAGGCAGTATTTCAGGCGCCTTGTCCCACTTAGTGTCCAGGGTTGTAAGAGTGTAAGAGATGCTGTATCGACAAAGGAGCCTAGTGACTAGTGACTGTTGGAAGCACAGTAGGTCTATCGGGCATAGAAGGGCTTCAACAAGGAAGAGGCATGTCTCAAGCTTAGGCAGCACCACCTTTGTGATGTACACTGTACCTTCCGATGCTTTCTTGCAGATGTCAGAAGTCATGATGCACGAGGATCTCGCAGACGCCGGTGTGCTGTCAGAGTTTGATGAGAGCCTGGGAAAGGCAATTTTCGTGTCGCACCAGTGGCTGAGTGACACCCATCCTGATCCAGACTTCCAGCAGCTGAAAGTTCTGCAAGATGCACTGAAAAACATCGTTGCCGGAACCAGCTCAATTTCTCAAGCTTTGTTCTCAGAAATCGTGTATGGTCGAAGAAGAGGCCCTGCACCCGGCGACTTCGCACCCGGCCATCTCCACATTTGGTATGACTACTTTAGCATCCCACAAAGCCGCGGTGGCCGCGCATCTCAGGCCCGTCAGACAGCCATTCAAAGCATCCCAACATATGTGGCAAGATGCGAGTTCTTTGTTGTGCTATGCCCGGCTTTGAAGCACAGAGATCAGAAGCGGACTTTGAGCCATGCCACTTGGGGCGAAAGGGGGCAGCTGAGTTGCAATTGCATTTCTTTGCCTTTGACGATACACTTGTTCGTGCCTAGGCCTAAGTTTTGCCGGTTCTTTATCCCGCCCCGCAGTCCAGGTGGTGTCGCACAGAAAGAGCTGCACGGGAACTCTCCAATCGCAAAGGTGGCTACGTCATTATTGTAGAGAGCGCCACGCACCAGTCGCTGCTGTGGGCAGGACTAAGCATGAGGCATGCACCCGGTGAAGGAGACTTTACGCTTGATGGTGACCGAGTGTGGATCGGTCGTATGGTTACTCAAATGGTTTGGTCCAAGCTTTTCTATTACCTCGAGCATCGACAGTTTCACAACTACCGATTCCTTCTGAACGCACAAGGGGCGCAGTATTTCCGTGCTCTTGATGTGGAGCCTATTGACGGCCTTGTTCCGGGGTTCGACACTGAGATCGACCCGAGTGTTGACTACAAGGGCTTCATGCTGGAGCATTTCCTGCATCAGAACGGTCTCAGGAGCGTAGAAACCCAAAATCCTCAGCCCCTATACCTGTAAAATCTCACGATTCCATACTTGTTCTCCATTGGTGCCGTCAGGAACATGTTCGAGCGGGACGCTGCAGGGTGGCCGCCCATTTGCTTTGCAGCGATGAGCAATAACGTCGTGGTGCTGCAAGCGCTTCTTGACCGAAAGGTGGATATCAACCAGGCTACGACCAAGCCCAAAGCAGAGGCGAGTTTCCCTGGCAAAGTGACGCCTCTGGGAGTGGCTTGCTTTTTTCGCAACAATGAAGCCGTTGAGCTGCTCCTCCGCGCAAGAGCTCACGTGAACTACAAGGATGCTTGGGGAGGCGGTGCTCTTCATCCGGCATGTGCAGGGGACAATCCGCTAGGAGTACGTCTACTATGCCATGCTCGTGCCAACGTGAATCAGCAGGCCATGCCAGGAATGAGCCCTTTCATGCTATCCTGTGTATGCGGAAGTCGGCGTGCCATGAAGGAGATGCTCACTCTGAATCCAGATGTGAGTTTGCGACATTGCCTACACGTCACACTCATGTTCGCTTCATGCGGTTCTGCCGACTTGGTTTCCGTTTTGCTCCAGGCTCGGGCGAATGTGAATGAGCAGTTCCGAGTACAGATCCAGGAGCCCGGGTGGTGGCTTCTAATGAACGCCATGGGTGTGAAGCATCGGGTAAGCCCTTCCAGACTAACTCTGCTGGCTTATCATCATTACGATGCTACGCCGCTGATGTTCAGCATTCTGAGTGGTTCTCTGGATTCTGTGTCCTCCCTGCTGTCAGCCCGAGCTCGACTAGACATCCGAAATTACCGCAAGCAAACGGCATGCGAGCTGGCACGCAAGATGCTCGCGCCATCGTGGTTGATCGAGGCCTGCTCTACTACAGGCCAGCAAGACGCCGAGATTCTTGCCGAGGGTGACACGTTTTTTATTTGAGAGGTCTTGGCCGACGCCGAAGGCGATTCCTCCCAAGTCTCTCGAGGTAGTGTTGCTCTGCTTTCCAATAACTTTCCAGCTTTCTATGCCCCGGGAAGCAGGGCAAGAAACCCGCTTAGTTTACACCTACATCCGCAGTTCTGCGAAACAATACACCATCCTAAGCCCTAAACCCTAAACCCTAAACCCTAAACCGCAGTTCTGCATGTCGTATCATCTAAAGCTATGGAGCAGTACAGAACGACCTGCAGCACTACGGTTTACAGAATGGTCACTGCATGTCACTGCTGTCCCGCACGATGAACTTCCACCCGTTACAATCTACACGCCCCTGATTCGGTCTATCGATGGCAGAATATGATAATAAGATGTATCTGTACATGATTTGTGTGAGAGTACATAGATATAGAGACAGATGTATATGTATACACCCTAAACTCTAAACCCTAAACCCTAACCACATAAAGCCAGTTGCACCTGAGCCCTCCCAACCCTAAACCCTAAACCCTAAACCCTAAACCCTAAACCCTAAACCCAACCCCTGGAGCCTCAACTCCCTGTCCGAAACTCCCTCAAATCTACTCGTACACTGCTGAATCAACCTAAACTCTTGCTTGCTTCAGGGCATGCAAGCAACAAATGCCAAGCTAGGCTTGTCAGAACACTATACTTCACTAGAGTTCTGGTTTTTAGTTTAGGTTGGTGGTTATATTTGCAGTTATTATGGTTATATAGTATAATATACCCCAAACCTTATT